TGGGATTTGTAAAAGCGAAGTCTTTGTAAGTTATATCCCATAATAAAAATTTGAATTTGTTATAAGTACTCAACGAATGAGAGTATACGAAGGGATTTTGGACTCTGATTTAAATAACAAGGCTAAAGAATACGGTTTTGGTAAAATTTGAACTCGGTGTAACCCTAGTCGTCGAAACCCATGAGTAGGAAGTTGCATAAACTACATTTACACTTGATCAGATTGGTAGGCATAGTATCGTTCTTCATCTTGTCGAGAAAGTGGAACTGCTCGACCGCAGTCCAACTATGATTTCCGGATGCACATGAAAAACCGGATTCATTATGACACTTGGCTCCCGCCACTTGTGATGAAGATACGGTTTTCTTCGTACCAGATATGGCGGTAGAATACCAAATGCGACCATCAAATTCCAAACATTGTAGATTTCGCAAAGCAGACATATTCATCTACCGTGAGCAAGTCATTTACAGTCGGTTAGGCACCTTATTCGCACAACTGATGGGCTAAAGGAAGATCCCTATCAGTTTACGTTTTTCACTCATTCGATCCTATCGGGTATTCCGAAAAGATCGACAGCGTTCAACCTCTTTTTATAATTGTGAAACCGATCAGTTATTGCACAAGCAATACAACCACTATGCTGCATATTGCACGGTTAATCAACTTACCACCAGTGTTTAGCAGTCCTCATGACAATGGAGTATCCCTTCTCTGATCGATACATTTTAATTAAAGCACATGATTTTCTTTGAAAAAAACTGTGAATTCTATTCGAGACAGTGTTGTCTCACAAACTGTTAGCTTACTGTCATCTCGCCAGAACGAGAACGAAAGTGAGATACGATAAAACGGAAAAGAAACACTTTATTGCGCTTTTGACAGAAGCAATGAACACTGAGAAATAGACGAGTGTGCGCGAAAATGTTCATCGTAACGAAAGACAAAAAGTAAAATAAGAAAATTGGGATGTGGGTAGTAAAATTTGGAGCAACAAGTCACCGAGTCTGGAATAGATCGAGAACATTTTCCCATTTGTATAAGAACTGGTATCATACACATCGTGACGCTTGCGAGACCAAACAAGAACAGAAGAAGACACGGGGTAGGAGGACACAAACCAAGGAACTAATATGAACAACGGCCGAGTGCTGTTGTGTAGAATTCCAGACTCACTGTTCTCGTAGGCAATGCAACAGACAGAGCAAGTACAAAACAGCAACACTATCGTCTGTCGTTTGAGCTTGGTCGTGGATAAACAAGAGACATGAGTTATTGCGTAAATATTACCTAAGTAGTAGTGAATGTCGGGAAGAACGAAGTTCAACGTTCAACCGGGATAAATGCACCAGGGTTAGGAATACACACTCCAGCCCCGGGAATAGGAAAACAAAGTCAAATCAAACATGGCAGGCCTGACAACAAAGAGAAAGAAGTTGGAGGATCATGTCTGGAACCGAAAGGAATTCGTAGCCAAATTTTGCATCACTGCTCTTCTAGCCTCGAAGTGCTGAAACTCACGACGATCCCACTCCGCTTGTTCTTGCAGTTCGAGTGTGGCACCCAGTGGTTTGTTTAGATGTGCCGGTGGTGGGGTTTCCAATATTGGGCCGATAAATTCAGAGCCAAAGTTAATCAACCGTTCGGGGAAAAGCAACCAGGATTGTACACCGAGTAAGTCTTTCTCGTACAGTAATCCAGTAAGCTATAATGAGAAGTGGCTTATTTAGGATGCTAAATTATGAGCTTACGAGAGCACAGGTGCAGACCAGCATTGTTTCCGGTGACGTCGTGGCCATCTGAAGTAGATTTTGCACAATTATCCTAACAATATAAACCAACCTGTATGCCGAAAAGGTAGGGGAATGACTTTCCAGTGATTGGGATTCCAATAACATGGGCTACGGGAACCCACGGAATGTCCAGGAAGTACGGTATGAAAAAGGGAAATATCATGCTGTACCTATCCGACGAATGGGAGATGAAAAAATAAGCAAGAACGTGAACAGGCGCTATTGAGAGAAGCACAGTATTCTACTAAGTCACCCAAAGGAAACCCTAACTCATCACTATCGATTTGCAATAACCTGCGAAGAAAATCAACCCAGAAACTTGGACACAGTAGAGGTGAGATCTTGTGCCGAACACATTCGGTCGCTCAAAATAGGATCACAAATGAAGTCCACAACGCATTCCCTGCGTGCTAGAATCTGTCACAGCAAATGACAGGTGTTTACAGCTTATGGTCAATCTCAAAATGTTTCAAGTCAAGTCAAGAAGTGACTTTAATTCGCCGCATAGGGGATGAACATTCAGCTACTACACAATCCTCTGTGGAAATTGCATAGTGAAAAAGGATGATGATACGCTACTTATGCAAACAAATAAGGCAAATTTAGAAACGATTTTGTTCAAGGGTCCCAATGACAAGATCGGCGTTAGTAAGAAACCGTGCCAAGTATTACAGAAGACTTGTGTTGTGGTGCGTGCTGCTATATGCTTATACTTGGAGCGAGTGCTAGATGAAGAGATACATTGACCAAAGTGAGGGTACAGTGGGTGAGATGGGTCAGGTAGTATTCTGCTAGAAAGTTTCTGGCAAGCCTTAAAGTGCTGTGAAATAATGAAATAAAAAACTGCACATTCTCACGAGATATGCCGCTGTATCGACATACGTGTTTGATGGATGTACGTATGAGTTTCAAGTCTTCGATTAAAAGACCCAGAAAAATAACTGGGGATGCATAAAGCCAGTGGAGAAGGATACAAGAGAAAACAAAACGCTTTATTAAGTGAGTTGGGGTAGATAGCATTTTCAAACGAATAATGTAAAATATGAGTTTCCTGACTTTGTGAAATGTCTCGACGACATGAGGAGACCAAAAAAGATTGCAGGAAATGGTGACTCCAAGATATTTGACGGAGCGTACTCTGGAAACTTGTTCAACATTGATAATGGAATGCTGTTTATCTCCGTTCGACCAAATACTAATCACCGTAACCGAATCCACATGCCTCTTTGTTTTCCATCATCCTTAATTGAGCACTTCTCTATTTGACTCATTCTATCGTCTTTATATCTTTATTTTAGTAAAATTCAGCTGCTCGGGACACGCACTCGTAATCTAGCCCGTATTGACCTTGATTGTACGAGGTGATGAGCGGCTGTCATCAACTCGTTCGCCCTCAATCGGAAACCTTGAAAGTGATATTCGCATCATAATTGTTATTCAAGACAAGATGCTTACACCATAAGTAAGGTGGAAATCAAGAAAAACCAATGAGAATAATCAACAAGGAAGGTGGAGTCTCCATCATTGTTTTATACTGTAAGCGTGCAGTGAAAGTAGATCCACTTACACACGATTCACAAACATATAAGACGGATCAACGCATAGACATAGGTTTCATAGTTGAAAGAGAGTAACATACCTGTGGTGGAGAATGAAAAGCAACGGGTAATTGTAAGAGATGAACGAGGAGCGTTTACACAGAGGCCATAAATATGAAGAAGCCGTTTTCCGGAGACAAAATTGTTCGATGTACAATCCGTAATTAAGTGAGCATGCCTGCATGCGTGATAGTTCTGTTGCATAAACAACTGAGAACGACATGTGATTGTTTATGCCTCCCAGGTCCTTAACAAGTAATTTCTAGTACTATGCTGCTGATGTGGTAGGGATTTGGTGTCTTCATTCAGGTCTCTTTGAAGCTATTCACCCTTTAGCCGGACACAATTAAGTGTTGGCATTGGACGCCAGAGTAAAGATGATTTCCTCAGGGGTCAAGTTTTCGAATGGATCTTAAACCGCAACTTGTGATTTTTCACTAGCTGTTGTTAGCTACCGAATCTAAACCACCATTCCCGTGCGCTCGTTGAATTGAATGTGGACGTAATCTGGGTTGCATTCTAGGAGAGTGATATTTTTCGCCAGATCATACTTAGATGATCGGTTTTATGACCGGGTTTTAGGATCTGTATATGGATGGAATCACCACTAGTAAACTGTTCGAGGCGACAGACTGTTTTTTTTGGCGAGTTATGTTGGTGACAGTATATAGGGCGAACGGTATTGAATGCGAGGCATCAGATATCACAAGACCTAAATCGGGCAACTTTGCGATTTCAGCCTGAAGCCTCGTCAAACAGTGAATCTGGGGGCTTCAACGTGAGGACAGTGATGAAAGTATGTCAACAAGCTTATCTGACACGTACAATGGACTCTATGGGGATTGATGTCTGCTGCGTATCGGGGATGCGAATCCATGACCCTAGTACTATAAGCCACATAAGTGCATCCGGGTTGTCTTCGAGGTTCTTTCTCCGCAAGTCAGGTGACGACGAAGCCCGTTCAATAGGCCAGTGTGGCGTGGGCATTGTACTCAATAATACAGCCGAAGCTGCACTACTCGATTGGATCCCCGTCAACAGTCGCTTATGTGCAATGCGACTCCAAGGATCTATCAGCGTCCAAAAAAGAAGCAACACCAAAAGGTGTCTGTTCATCATTTCAGCGTATGCTCCGACGAACTGCAGTTCTGACGCACGTAAGAACCAGTTTTATGATAAACTCACCGAACTCATTGGGTTGAGTCGAAGCTCCGATACAGTTGTTCAGTACAAAACTGTAGGTCCTATTGGACAACCTGCGTTGAATCTGATCATGCGTTAGTGTTCATGCATTTCACTCTCAAACTCATTGATCACAGAAAACCTCATCAAACCCGATTGCCAGATCACCGTTTATCTGACCCAGCCGCTCGTGCCCGTTTTGAATCACAACTAGGGTAAGAGCTAAACGCGATGCGGAGTGGTAGTGCAGATGAACTAAGGATTCACATTAGATGAGGAATGCACTCCGCAGAGAGAGTTGCTTGCGGATCTGAAGCGGTAACTCACCAGAGGCACTGGATATCTGATCAGTCAGTAGCACTGGTGGAGAAATAGCGGCAAATCCCGACCGTCCGGGATCAAGGCAGAGTTA